CTTGCATACAAGAATAATTTTATATGCATAGAAGAATAGTTTTTTAAAAAAAAATTTTGGTAAATCATATTTTGTTTCGTATGGGAATAAAACTTCTTCTAACCTTTTTTATTCTCCAGTCAACGCACCAATGACTTTGAGAATTTTTTTTCTTTCACTTCGAGAGAACCTGATTTTTCGGAAATTAGCAAAGAGGAAAAGTATTCAAAAAAAAAAGATCGTCTTCAATTATAATTCTTAAACATGAGTTGAAAATTAAATTAAGACATACGAAAAAGAAGTTATTAATGGTAAAAACAGATTAGTTACGTCACCACTATAGCCCTCCCCTCGGATCTTGTAACAAGATGCAGGGATTAATGTTTCTCGGATCAGATGAAGAAGATGTCTCGGTTGAATATCTGCAGCGTTTTCCAACATTCTCTCAGACATATATATCCCAGCGACGACTCAAAGAAGATGCATGTCAATCTCTTCGGATCAACATAAGCAGGAAATCCCAGTTTCCCAAAGAGAGTCTCCAGGAGCATGTAAGGCACCTGGTTCTCTAGGAGGAGGAGATCAACCCTAAGAGTCGGAACAATCCATGGAAGTGTGAAGATGGTGTCATTAGGGTTGGTCAAACTCACATGTTTTGACGCCACCAAGATCACCATCAAAACGAAGCAGCCATCGAGAACCATTATCTTCACCAACTCTTCTCTACTTAGCTGAAGAGGCTCAGAGTAAGCGTCTCTTATGTCTTTCTCCAAATCGCCCACAATAGTTTCCAAAAACGTCATGGATATAGATCCGCCTTGTTGATTTGCTGTTTCCATAAATAGTTCCAAAAATCGGTGTTTGTGTTGCTGAATCATTTGCAACCTTTCGTCGTCGCTGTGGTATGGACCAATAGATACTATACTAGGTCTGAATGCTAGAGGGTTGGTTTGCAAGAGAAGGGGAGGAGCTCTGAAGATACAACAAGTTTCACCAATTGATTCCTTAAGCCGACATGGCACAAGCTTTTCAGTTGCTTGGTTGGTCTCCATTTCAATGTCAATCAATGCCCTGAAATCCATCAGAAACCAAAAATATTGCTCTACGCAACTAGTAACAGAATGAGCTAAACATATAGTAATCGAGGTAGAAAAGAGATGAGGAAAATTGTTAAAGTGAAGGGATGTTCATGGCTTTCACTAGTTAGAAACAATTTTTTATAGCATCTGCAAATCGATACAAAACAAAATAGGGGGAGACACAAATCGTCTTTTTTACCAAACAAAATAGCCGCAGAATTTAAACAAAATAGCCGAAGAATTGAAACATTGTATTTTAGAGTTGCTCTAAAATTTGAAGATTAGTGCAAGAATATGCCGAGAAGATAATCGAAGTTTTAGAAGTGGGGAACGCAG